TCTTCATTCAATTCACATTTTCAGACAGAATTTCCCATTTCAGGATGCATTAGGATGCTGTTGACTCTCCTTGGGAAATGACCTCAGGTAACAAGTTTCAAAGGACCTGAACGCTGCCAACTATAAGAATGGGATGATGAGTAAATACAATCATGGAGAAATTAGACTGGTCTAAATGTAAGTTAGTCTAAAATATCTTTGCTTTGCCAGAGATGTTTGTAGATATGTACATTTCCCGGTTGAACTGGCTCTGAACTCATGACTTAAATAGACTTTTACTCTTCCATTAGACTCATTGGCAAATCTCACCAGCGCATCTTAAACGTAAACCCTTGATCTTCGCCAACTCAACAATCGATATTCAGCTGAAATGTGACTCTGTTCTCTCCTTGCCAATATTTGTCCCCTCAGAGGCGGCCAAGGTCAAAGAACTAGACTCCACAAAACGCAAATACAAAGCCTACCCAAAAGATTCAAAACAGTGTAAATCCTAATGAGTCTAAAGTTAAAATATTTAACACTCCAACAACCAGCCCTTGGAGGATTAAAGAACCATTTAGGGCTGCTTTCCGGTAGTCTCCCCGATCCGCTACAGGGAGTCCAGAGAGGAACATGAAAACACAGCAGGTCACCTAGTGGAATGTGTGTATTACGGAGTCGGGAAGAGAGAGCTGGGTCAGCCCCTCCCAGCGGGCCTCGGGCACTCACCTGCTGATCTGCAGGATGGGCCAGGACTGCTCTGGAGAAGGAAAGCAGGGGTCACCAGGCTGAGCCCAGGCTGTCAGGATCCACCCTGGTCCAAGCCCTTTGCCCTTGTGTGGCTACCACGAGCACATCCCCGATCTCTGGAAGACCAGCCTTGCCCCGGCATTGTGGGAATTGGCTGCGCAAAGGCTGGACTGCAAACAGCTCCCTGTTTGTCAGGATTTGCTTATTAAGTTGCCACACGTCACAGTGCTGTCTTTAACCCACAAACCTGTGCTCCACTGCCTAAATCAAAAATACACATTTGATTCAGTTCCATGATGCCACAAAAAAGGAAAGCATCCCATTTCCTCTCGAAGGCTGTTCTTTGCAGTCCTGACAAAGCACATGCGACACAAATCACAATACTCCAAGCGGCTCCAAGCCACACGCTCTTAAGAAACACGACTGAGTCAGGAAATGAAAAAACTTGGCATACTCAAATATGCGCACCTGCTGTGCTAGATAGCAGCAAGATGGGGAACTCGCGAAACAATGTATAGTCCAACACTACAACTCCAAAAATGAAATGAGCAGAAGGCTCAGCTTTGCTGCGAGTGAGCAGACTCACGAACCACAGCATCACCAGGGAAGCCCTCAGCCCGGGTCAGGGAGGAAAGGCACAGCAGGTGAGGGCATGGTCAGGTGGAAAGCCCACTGAGCACCCAACCGGACAAAGTTCCCCTGGCCCTGCAGCTAAGGTTGGTGGATGACAACTGCTCCACCCCCACGTGCTATAGGAAGGCTGCTGGAGCTGTGGCCCTGCTGCCTATGAAGAGAGGCATGTCAGCGTCCCCCAGAGCTTGCTGGGTTTCCGGGATCCTAATCCAGTACTTCACTGAAGCAGGATCCATGTCTCCCTGAGGGAAGTCTTGGAACGTCCTGATCACCCTGCTTCATAAACCTGGGGATTATAAGGGGAAACTCTGTTCCATACAGACTGCTACATTTTCCAGCCACTGCTTCTGAGACCTCAGATAAGGACACACACTTCATTCAACATTTCCTGACCCAGTGATCCATGGACCCACTTGCCCATAAAGAAGATGCTGGAATCTCTCTGGTAAAATTCAGCATCATTAAATGAGCCGAGCAGAACTGAGTTTTGATCATTAGAGCTAATAGATACTTCAGCTATTACATTTCAGCATTTCAACTAGAATGACAGGCTCCCCCCTCACTCCCTTACTCAAGGTAAATATTCCTGAAAAAAACCCCACAAGTGAATTGTTGGAATTTTGCTTTGGGGGATGAGCATGTGAGTTTTCATTCCACTCTGGAAATATACTCTCAAACACTTCCTTGGTCTGGCCAGTATCGCCCCTTCTTTTGAAACTACCTCTTCAAAAACAAAACCTATTTAACTTCCTTATGTTTCTTTACAAAATGTTTGTTATCAGTCTATAATGAAAAGTTGGCACTTTATAAAATTGACATTTAGAAGATTGCTTAATACTTAATGTATGAAGGGCCATAACCATGTGCAGAAAGACTGGGTTGTTCCAAATCTTTTACAAAATTCTGAACCTTAGAAAAACTATTCTCCAGGATTTGTGAGACAGCAAAGCTAGATTTCCTCACCTGAAAGCCAGGTTTGACTTTCATTATATTATGAAATAAGTGCTTTTAAGATTCATTGCTTGAATTCCAAAATATACTTTTGAAAGTTAATAATTTATTTATTTATTTTTTTTTTAATTTTTTTTTTCAACGTTTATTCATTTTTGGGACAGAGAGAGACAGAGCATGAATGGGGGAGGGGCAGAGAGAGAGGGAGACACAGAATCGGAAACAGGCTCCAGGCTCTGAGCCATCAGCCCAGAGCCTGACGCAGGGCTCGAACTCACGGACCGCGAGATCGTGACCTGGCTGATGTCGGACGCTTAACCGACTGCGCCACCCAGGCGCCCCAAAAAGTCAATAATTTTTTTAAATAAAAAATTTGCTCTTCATACCTCTTTAAAATCCATTTCTTACTTTATTCCATATTTGAAGGGTTACCCTTTTGAAGAATACCAGACAAGGGGATCTCTATTTTGATCATGTTATTGGGCTCCTAATTTCATCCTTGTTTAATTTTAAATAATCCCAAACAACCCAAAAATAATGCATAATTATCATATGAATTGGCATTTCAAACTGTGCTATAGGCCATATACACTAGCAATATGTTTCAACTAAAATGTATTCATAAACACATAAGAAAAATATAAAATATATTTATCTAAGTGTTCTTCTGCAAATGCATTTTTTAAAAAGAAGTGGCATACAGAACTCAGTATGGGGCAATGCATGAAAAAGCTTGATAATTTTTGTATTTAGTAACAGAAAAATGATGCAATTGTTAAAATTGTAAAAAATTGTAAAAATGCAATTGTTAAAATTGCTTATTTCTATGGTTATAAAACTTTTTATAAGTGTATGTGAATTAAGTAGTCATTGTTTCATAGACATGACTATTTTTTAGTCTGCTTTACTCCAAGCATAAATTATAATGAACTTTGGATGGCTTTCCACTAATAATTATTTGAAACTTTTCCCCACGATCAATTACCTTTGGCAACCACTGCTATAGTCAAAAGGAATGTCTCCAAAACAGAGGTTAAACTAAATATTTTCATGGCTTAAGACATCTCATTTTGGGGCGCCTGGGTGGCGCAGTCGGTTAAGCGTCCGACTTCAGCCAGGTCACGATCTCGCGGTCCGTGAGTTCGAGCCCCGCGTCAGGCTCTGGGCTGATGGCTCGGAGCCTGGAGCCTGTTTCCGATTCTGTGTCTCCCTTTCTCTCTGCCCCTTCCCCGTTCATGCTCTGTCTCTCTCTGTCCCAAAAATAAATAAAAAAACGTTGAAAAAAAAATTTTAAAGACATCTCATTTTGAGGCATGGAAGTATCTGGCAGTTTCTGTAGCTTGATGTCAGTTCAGATAGATGCTATATTTCAGTCGTACTGATTTATTATTATTTCTTAGATGAAAGAGGACAAGTAGATCCCCCCCCCTTGCACAGTAATAATTGTACATTTGGTGTCTTAGTGTTTATTGTAACCAAGATTACTGAAAATAATGTAAACAGTTTTACCTGTACCCACAAGAGGTTCATTTCAAGTGGCAAACCTTACTGAAAGTTTAGCTACTTTATTAAGTGTAACTCTCAGCATCTACTGTTAAAAAATACTACTTTTCTAGAGCCAGATAAAAAGACCAGTTAGTAAATATTTTACCTTTTGCCATATAGCCTTTGTTGTATCTACTCAACTTTACTTAGCAGGAAAGCAGTCACAGATTATATGTAAATGAATGTGCATGGCTGTGTTCCAGTAAAACCTCATTTATGGAAACTGAATGTAAATTTCATATAATGCTCATGTGTCACAAAACAGTATTCTTCTTTTGAGTTTTTCCTGTTGTTTACAAATGTAAAAGCATTCTCAGCTCTCAGGCCCTACGAGAACAGGCTTCAGGCTGAATTAGGCCCATGGGCTTTGGTATGCCTACCCTGGTTCCTATACAGCAATGGTAGAAACCATCCTTCTTAAAGATTACCATTACAAAATGAATTGACTGTACTCATCATGTGCTGGAAAATAATGAAAACAAAAGAAAGACAAATTACCAAGGGGTAACCAAGGTGTGGTTAAAAATCAGGTCCTCAGCTAGGATACTTACCTGCCCTGCTCATACATAGCCACTTTATCTTGGCATCCACAGCATCAGCAGCTGAGTGACAAAGGCCAGTGTGCACAGCACCCATCTGGTTCTGACAACATGTACCTGTTGGGCATGCTTCATCTCCTATCAGGTCATCACTACCCATTGTGGCTCTGACTAAAGACAGAAAGACACCTGTCCATTCCACACACACACACACACACACACACACACACACACACCCTCCAATCACCCAACCACTGGAAAGTCCAGCTTCTCTGGCTGCTAAAGGCCCCGAGAAGTCTAGCAGCTATTATGTGGTCCGCCTATACAAGGGGGTTGAGGGCTGGTGACTGCAGCTTACACAGGTCTACGGGATTACTCTAATATATCAATTGACCAACCACCTCATTTTGGCAGGGGACAGAACCCTCCTACAAAACATTTCAAAGAACATTTTTGCCCAGAATAGGAAATCTGGGCCTTTCCACATCAGAGAGCAAGGATTGGAGGAAAGAAACTTGAAAATACTGTTAACTATTTGAGGAAGATCACCTGTCAAGACCTCCCAAACTCCCCAGGAGCTGAAATATAAAGTACAGCGTAAAAGAGTGTGCAAGTTGCCTTTACTTTTTTAAAGGACATGTGTACACATAGGCCCAAGTAATGTCCAGTCTGTGCAAACATCTCCCAGATCCCAGTTAAGAGAAAAGGACCGCCCAGCCCAGGCCCCACCCGGTTTTCTCAGAGAAACAGGCCCCTCTGCGAAGGCTCCCCTTCACGCCCACGGTCCAGTGCATTCTCCTGGCATGATGTGGCAGGATGCCTGTCCTTTCCCTGAGACTCAGGCATCTCCAACAAGCAGCAACGGCGAAAACACTTTGCCTATAGTTTTAAACAAATCCCAAGGTCTTACAATTAGGCGCAAGGGTCAGGAGACTTTTTCTTGGAGAAAGCTATGGCTCAGAATCTTGAGAATTTCTTCCCATTCTGACGCAGAGCGAGAATCCCAGAAGCAGCGGAGGAAGGCCTAAACGAGGAGACAACGGGCGAGGAGTTTCGGTGCTCACAAGGCTCACTCGCCGGATCCGTCCTGGTGAAAGTTTGCCGTTGAACGGCTCCCTCCTTTCCTTCCCCGAGGTACGGGGCTCAGCAAATCGTCCCCGCAGGTCACCCGGTTGCTCTGGGGCGGCGCGCGGCCTGGAGCCCGGCCTTGGGCTCAGAGCGCGTCGGAAGGGCGCACATAGCGCAGCGTGTAGTTGGCCCCCGAGTTATTGTCCCAGTACTCGCCCTGGGCACAGCGGTAGCACACGGCGAAGTGGACCGCGGCGCCCGGTTCGTCCGCGTCTTCCCCCTCCTGGGGCTGCAGGCCGGGGGGCAGGCACAGCGAGAAGTGGAAGCGCTCGGCGCCTGGCTCCTCCTCGGCGCCCCCGGGCCCCCCCGACGGCGCCTCAGGTGGCTGTGGCTCCGCCGGCGGCTCGGGCTGCAGCTCGGCCGGCACGTCTAGGAAGGAGCGCCACTCGGTGAAGGTGTAGCGCACCGCCACGGTTCTCGGCCCGGGGCAGCCCAGCACCCGGCCGGAGCCTGTCACCTCCGCTCCCGAGGACGCCGAGCACTGCACGCGCTCCAAGCACACGCGCTGCCGCCGCAGTCTCTCGGCGGCGGCGCTGGGCCCGGGAAGCTCGAAAAGAGGCCGAAGCCGGGGAGGCGGCGCAGAGAGGGCCGCGGTCGCGGCCGCCGCGGCCAGCAGGCCGGGAAGCTGCTCCAGGTCTTGGGCGCGCATGGGGAAGCTGCGCAGGCGGGAGAGCACGGCGGGCGGCACCTGCGGCTCCTCCGCCTCGCTGAAGTGCTTCACGCTGGCCAGGCTTAGCCCCAGCGCGTCCGCGAACTGCACTCGCTTCTTGCACTTGGCGCAGCAGCTGCCGGGACCGTGCGGCAAGCCCTCGGCCCCCTCGCCGCCCTCCGGGCCGAGCCCCAGGCCAAGCTGCTGGCGCTGGCGCAGCAGCTTGGCCGCCTGCAAGATCGGGTCGGCGGGCAGGGAAAAGGAACGCGGGAGGCGGCGGCGGCACTCCAGCAGCTCCTCCGGCTCCTGGGAGGCGGCCTCTTCCTCCGCGGACAAGGGGTCAGCGTCGGGGCTCTGGGCTTCCGACGCGCCGCCGCCGTCGCCCCCCGGAGTGGGCAGCACCTCGGCTGGCGGGGGCTCTCCAAAGAGCGCAGGTCCCTGTTTCTCCAAACTTAGCGCCCCCTGGGGCTCCATGAGGCTGTCTGGCCCCGGGACTGTCCGTATCAGTTCTCCCTGGAGACTTAACACCTTGGGTCGTTGCAAGGGCGCGCAGAGCCCGCCCCTGGCTGGAGAAGAGAAGACAGTCCCACTGCGTAGCCCCGGGTTTTAGCGGCGGCGACCCGGCGCGAAGTGGGAGGAGGATGCCAGCGTGGGGCCGGCTCTGGGGATTGAACCTGCCAGCGGCGGGGGAGGGCCCAGGGCGGGGAGGCGCAGGCCGTGGGAACACCGGGAACCTGGGCGGCGCGGGCCGGAGCTAGCGGGCGAGCTTCCCGAAGGCTGAGGCAGAAGGTGGAGACGGCTCTCTGGAAGTTGGGGGCTCCCTTTTCCCTCCCGCCCACCCCGGCGGGGCCCGCGTCGGTCCTGCCTCCGGAGCTCCTCGGGTGAACTGGCGCTCAGCTTTCGTGGACTCGGGCGCGAATCTGCCTTCCTCCGGCGCGTCAAGTTGCCCCAGGTCTGGACGGGTCCGCCCTCTGGCGGGTCGCAAAGCCGTCTCCTCCCGGGTGTCGCGGCGGCCGGGGAAGTCCCCGGGGGCAGGCGCGCAATTAGGGAAGCTCGCCTGCGGGCAAGCGGACTGAGAGCACCGAGAACCTCCCTCGCTTTCTTTTCCTTCCTTCCCAAACTTCGGGGCTCCCGGGCTTCAGTCCCGCTCTCCCGCCGGCCCGGGACCGGCGCGCTGGCCTCGGCGCTCCCGCAGTGGCGGCGCCCGGGGGCTGGGGCCGAGTCCGGGGCGGGGACGCGGCTCTGCGCCGAGAGCTGCCGGAGGCCATTAGCTCGGGGCCCGGGAGCACGTCCCCGCTCCTCCCCCCCCATCCCGCCCGCCGCGCTCCGGGGCCCCGAAGACCGGGGCCCCGCGGGACCGTCGCCGCGCGCACTGCCTCTCCCTCGGGGCCTCGGCGTGCGCTAGGGCTGCGAGGCGGCCGACCTGCGGCTCTACCGGTGGAACGTGGAACCTGGGCACTGGGGAGACCTTCGGTAGTGAGTTTTTGTTGTTGGTTTTGTCTGTTTTTAAGGCTAACTTTACCTTGATCAAAGTCAGTGTCTCGCAAACATCAGCGCGCGTCGGCGTCACCTGGAGGGGTTGTGAAAACATTCCTGAGCCACCCTGGAGTTTCTGATTCAGTGTTGCTGAAAGTATTTCCAACAAGGTCATGCCGATGCTGGGCTCCAGGGACCGCATTTTGGGGACCTGCGTATAAACCTGTGTGGACGTGTGGAGTTACTTGTGTAAAAAGCTAGGGATTCTAGAAACATAGATACAGTATTTCAGGGGAAAAAAAGAAAAGAAAAAAAAAAGAAAGAAAGAAAGAAAAGCCAACCTACCCGGGTCATTTAACTGAGGCATGGTAACTAAAATACCTTATGGTCTGGCAGAATTTAAAGGGGCCAGCACCTTAGGCATTTTGGTGAGGCGGCAGGCATAAGATGGAGAGTAGGGAGTAAGGGTCATATTAATCACTAATATTGACTGAGCACCCAGCCATCAGCAAATATTGGTTTGAACTGATCCTCCTTGCCTGATCTTATTCTCAGAGCATCATCCCTACTCTACAAGTGGGACATAGAGGTGTAGAAGGATTTTTCATTGCCCAGGCCTCACAGCTAGGTGTGGTGGGATTTGAACCCTGGGCAATGAAGAGGGAAGAGTTCTCCCATCACTAGGAAGCCAGGGCTGGGGGTGTGATGCTCCTGAGGAAGGGGCTCTGCCATCCTCCTGTTAGGGTGGTAGGTCCTTGGGTGCCCAATATAAAATTCCATGATTGCATGTCAACTTGGAAGCTTACAAGAGGCACATGATACTCTGTGTGTCTCTCTGAACAACTCCAAGATTTGGGGAAGAAGACATTATTTTTACATTTAGGTAAATATTTACATATTATGGAGTTAAACACAAAATTTGAAAATTATTTGGAAGATTAAAATAGGATTTCAAAGAGATTTTGAGGTTGTGGTGACCCTTTGGGCTACTGCCCTCATCAAGGCCATGTGCCCACTGCAGGACAAGGGACGTCAGGAGGTGAGGTGCCTAAGGAGTAGGACTCAAGGAGGCGTCAGTCTCAGGGTTATGCAGGGCCCTAGGCCCAGCAACTCTCTTTTCTTTTTAGTGAGTGTTAGAACACCTCACCCTCAGGGAGCTCTCAGTATATTGGAGGAGACCAACATTAATCAAAAAGCAAATACAGGCTTGGCCACACTAGCAGATGCTAAGAAGGATGCAACCTAGCATCCTCACCTGGGAGGAAGGTGAGTGGGAGTGAACAGATAGGCCTGCAGGTAACATTTCAGCCCATAGTTGTATGGGCCCCATGTGGGTGGAAATGTGGGGAATGTGGGTGGAAGGGGTTCACATGGCGGAGGAGGCAAGGGGTCTTTCTTGAGTCTCTTTCATAAGAGCACTAATCCCATCCATGAGGGCCCCACCCTCATGACCCAATTACCCTCCAAAGCCCAATCTCCTAAAACCTTCACATTGGGGGTTAGATTTCAACACAGGAACTTTGAGGGGACACAAACATGTACACTACAGCAGACACATTGATTGTTTTGAGGTGAAGACAATTGAGAAACAGCAGATACAGGAAGGGCTCTCCTTTCTACCCAAAATCACGGCATAGATTTCTTGTACCAGGAAAAGGAGAACATTCTTATCATCAAGACAGAGTTGACACCAATTTGAATCTGGACAAACAAACCTAAAATAGACCTTAGCTTCCACTAGTTTCCCCATGTACTTCTGGGTCACTTTCCCACATTTTACCCTTTTAGCCCAGACCCTTTTATCCTTCGTCTTGCCACGTCCCCTGACTTATCCATCATTGTTAAAATGGTACATAAGCTCCCAGGCCTATCCGTTTCTTTGGGTCTTCATTTCTTACACTGAATATGAAAGCCTCCATGTACACATAAAACTACCAACAAGAAATAAACTTTTTATGTTTCTCTCTTGTAAATCTGTCTTTTATCAGTTTAATTCTTAGGCCCAAACACAGAATTTAAGAGGATAGAGACACCATATATAATATGTTAAAGTGTTACAAAAATACTAAATTTTTAAAGTATTTTAAAAGAGCAGAAACATTTTAGAAATGTGTCCCCTAACTCTTCTTCAGCTTTTTGAAGGGGATTGAGTTGATTAAGATAAAGTCACAGTGAGTTTTCAGGGGCTTAAATGCAGCCATGGAAACTTCCTAGAAAAATGCCTTCTAATCTAAAAGGATCAAATTCTGTAGTGCCTTAGACTGCATTTTTCAGCACAACTGAAATATGGCAATGGGATGAACTTGCAATAAACTTGAAAAAAGCATTACCCTGTTTGCCTGGTTCATTTTTCTTTCTTATGTGTGCCTTCTAGCAGAATCTAAGAGGTCTGAGTACAACTGACTTGCTTCAAAAGTGGAAAAAATAAAGCCAAGTGAGATTCAAATGATCTGCTTAACCAAAGCCACTCAGCCACCCAGAGAAGGGAGCGCCAGATTGATATCTAGTATAGCCAGGGCTTGCGAATCATCGTGTGCTAAAACACTGCTCACAGCATTGCACAACCTCACACAGCCTGATGGGATGGTTATGTTACCACAAGTATGGCAACCTGGAGGCCTACAACAATTCACTGAATTGCTCTGGTTACCCAGGATAGAATTTGCTGGGCCAGGATTTGGACTCACACAGCCTACTGTCTGAACCCCGCGGCAGCCCTCTCTGGGAGCCTGCTGGAGGTAAGTCATGTTGCTTTTGGCTTAAAAAAAAAAAAAAAAAAAAAAAGTCACCAAGTCAGAAGGGGCCTTGCTTCCCACAACAAAGGGATGAGGAGTTAATAAGAAAGCTTTAAGGATGGAGTTCTCTATTTTTATTCTAAATTTCTTTGGCTTCCCTATTTCTTTTTTTTTTTTTTAATTTTTTTTTCAACGTTTTATTTATTTTTGGGACAGAGAGAGACAGAGCATGAACGGGGGAGGGGCAGAGAGAGAGGGAGAACAGAATCGGAAACAGGCTCCAGGCTCTGAGCCATCAGCCCAGAGCCCAACGCGGGGCTCGAACTCCCAGACCGCGAGATCGTGACCTGGCTGAAGTCGGATGCCTAACCGACTGCGCCACCCAGGCGCCCCTGGCTTCCCTATTTCAATGAGTTTTACTCATGTTTGTGATCATCCAGGTTTTAACATGATTTGCATAATATATTCTTTTTTTTTTTTTTTCAACGTTTATTTTTGGGACAGAGAGAGACAGAGCATGAACGGGGGAGGGGCAGAGAGAGAGGGAGACACAGAATCGGAAACAGGCTCCAGGCTCTGAGCCATCAGCCCAGAGCCCGACGCGGGGCTCGAACTCACAGACCGCGAGATCGTGACCTGGCTGAAGTCGGACGCTTAACCGACTGCGCCACCCAGGCGCCCCTGCATAATATATTCTAAGTGTAATTTGTAAGTTTCCCAGAGCTTGATTGGCCTAATACCCAACCAATTTTTTTTCTGAAATTAACAGTCATTTACACATTACATGTTAAAGAGCCCACTAGTGTCAAGTTAACCTCCTATCAACACTTCAAGTTTTAGTATGTTAACTTTTTATCCTCATATCAATTTTCTGCAATGTTTAAGTCATTTCACTTACATTTAGTGACTTTTCTCATTTGACTTTGGATGACTGTAAATACCAATCATAAGAAGCATAAACAAATGTGTGAAAACTTCAGTTCTTGGTATATGTGACACAATTCTAATGAGCATGCAAAACTCTGGGAGTGCAGGACTAATATCAATCTATTACTTCTGCCTGGCTCCCCAGAGTCTCTGTCAGCTTCTGGGAGGAGGCCCTTCATTAGTCCTCTCAACCTTCTTGTCCAGAGCCTCCCTGCTTCTTTTCCTCTGTGTGAGACAGAACTGAAAGGTTAGGGAAACTACTGGATTTGACATCTTTCTTTGAAGGGAGCAGGGAAGGACCCCTATGTCTTGCTGTCTCATAAAATGACAGAGACTTGGTCTCCTAATAGGGTCTGT